CACACACACACACACACACACACACACACACACACACACACACACACGGGAAAAATTTAGAAAGTGGTTTTGCAGTGGAGATACCTGATGAACATTCCTTCAGCCAGATGATCAAGGTTAACACTAACTGTCCTAAGTCATGTGGATAGAATGTACATTTGACATGTGATGGCATCTTACCTCTGTGACCCTTGAGAAGCCTGTAACTCCAGTGTAATCATGAATAAAACATCAGATAAGTTCTAACAGAAGGCCATCCTCAAAGCCACCCAAGTCAACAGAAACCAGAAAAGTCAGAGAGCATAAATCTCTGGAATCTAGGAATCTAGGGAGACATGACTATTAAATATAAGGTTTGTCTTCCATTTGAGTAAGTTACCCTGTTAACAGATAACAGTTTCTAATATCAGCTCATTAGTCATACCAAATGTAGCATACTCATAAGATGCTAACTGTATGGGAAATTGTAGGGTGTACATATTAGCCATGATCACATTATTTTGCAAAGCCCCATTTTTGCAAACAGTTAAGAACTAAACTCACTTGTTTCCCAGAGCTCAGTAACTTCTAGGCCCTTGCCCTCCCCACCCTATCAACCCCCAGTGCAGTGAGCCTCGAGATACTGATCTATATCTTGAGAATTCTTTTTGTCCCCTTCTCTCTTCATTCACCCTAGCTGCAACTGACCCCAGGCTCTGGCTCTTCTTTTAGAGACTGCACACTTCTTCCAGATGAAGCCCATGCTGTTGCTGAGTTGTGCATCCTCTTGTATGTATTTTCTTCTGCCCAACTTTGCAGTACAAATTATATGAGGACTGTGCACATTCTGCTCAATTGTTCTGTCAATCTAAAAGTATACTAAAAAACAAAGTCTGCAGGGGCTGGAGACATAATCAGCAGATAAGAGCATATACCACTCTCACAGAGGACCTTATTTAGGTTTCCAGCAAATATGCTAGGCAGCTTCTAATTGCCTGTAACTTCGCATCCAAGGAATCCAATGCCCTCTTCTGGCACTTTCAGCTATACAAGTTTTAAAAAGGGGCCAGAGAGATGGCTCAGCACTTCATTAAGACCACTGGCTGTTCTTGCAGAAGATCTGGGTTCAATTCTCAGCACCCACACAGTGACTCACAACCATTTCTAACACCAGTTCTAGGGAACATAACATAACATAACATAACATAACATAACATAACATAACATAA